ATTCCATTTCTATAATACAGCATTCTTTATTCCACTCATAATTGTTGCTTTTTGACTGTATTTTTTAAGGGGCAAGGACTGAAACAAATATTGAATTCACGCTTTTTCATATTTCAAATTCACTGTTGCTATTGAGCCTTCAAAATACTGATGGAAAATTTTTTGCACAAAAAGCTAAGTTTCATGTATTGGTTATCTACCTCAGTTTTTAAGATTCCTGTTTACTGTTTGCATAAGGGTACCATATATTTGCTCGAGATAGAGCACGGACATTTATTATTTTTTTGCATGCTTATAGTAAATCTAAAAAGATACCAGTATTCCTACAGATCTCATTTTAGGAAAGTTAACCTTCTCTTATTTTATCCAATCTTGTTCTGGCTCGCAGTTCTCGCTGCATATCTTTAACTGCACAGAGTCCGCAAGTTCGCGGACAGTTTTCTTCCATCAACTCACGGTACGGTGGTCGAGTGCACAAAGTAGCCCTTTTAGGGCATTCTGAGTCTTTATCTTCACATTCTTCTTCTTCTGCAAATAAAACTGGGCTAAAAAAACCGTAAAATGGCTGTATACGTCTATACTTTACTGTTATTTGAGATGCGATCGTTAACATACTACTTCTTTACCTGGACCGCCGCAGAAACCACATGTTTTTGGGCATTCCCTTAACATTATATTGCGGTATAACTTCTCTGAACACAGATCTTTGTGTGCTGGACAGCCGGGAATGTTATCCTTACATTCTTCTGAAATAAACAGCTATCTGTCTAAATAAACGCAAAGAGTGGAAGAGTAACGAAAAACTGGTGTATAAAATTTGTTTGGGTCTGTTGGAGAAGAAGCTGTTATCTTGTGAGACGTTAAAAACTAACGCTTACTAAATTTTCTTTTTCAACAACAATTATTTCAAACACAACTTATTATTATTTTTTTTTGAGAACAAACCTTCAAAGACGTCTGGTCCCGTACCAGTCTCTTCCTCTACTTCTTCTGATATAAAGTCTGTTGGTGTGCGAGCAATCTTTTCAAGGAGACCTACTAATGACTTTGGTTCTGATAACGTTGTTTGATCACTTTCACCTTCGGCAAAGTCTACAAAGTTTTTCAGTCCTGAGGAACCACCCTAAAGGAAAAATTTATTTATAATTTAAATAACTAACTGTTTTACATTTTTTTAATAAAGCTTTTACGGTAAAAAATTTTTATGGTAAGTGTAAGTTGAAAGCTGAAGAAGAAGTTCCAAAAGAGTCCGATAAAGTTGAAGTTTGAGAACCACATACGGTATTGAGAGATCCCGGCTGCAGATCTAAATGGCATTATCAAATTTATTTATTGGAACAGCTGCACTGTTAAATTGTCATCTACTTCTTTTTATATAAGTTTATGTATTTTTTGAATTATTGGTAGCTAATAATCTATAGAAAAAAATTCAAAATATCAACTTTACAGTAACAGAAAGGCAAGAGTTATGAAAGTCAAACATCGAAGATTTATTTTACGCAATTTTACTTCTTCTGGCTCTAAATAATCTTATGTAAACAGTTACCTTCGGAGCTTCCACACACACAGTTTGTAGCCAAAAGTTCCAAGATTATCGGTAATAAAAGCAGCAGCATAATTTTGTTTTACCTAAAAAAGTAGGCAAATTAAAGCGTGATGTCGACTTGCCGGATAGTTAGAATTTTGGTCAACTGATTCTGGAAAGTGAAGCAAAGCAGTAAATACAGTAGCTACATCTTTAACACTGAAGTGAGGAAAGAAAAACAGGCTTTTTGGTACATAAGTCATTCTTTCAACGACTTGTTGAAAATTTTAAAATGTTAAAGCTAACCAGCTGAGATGACCGCGTAAGGGAAGACTAAATTATTTTTCGATGAAGATATACTGCACAAAATTTTTGTCTTTGTTTTTTTTAGGTTGAATACCGCTGTGTTTGTTCAGCGTTAGTAGATGAGTAGATGCTTATTGTTCTGCACACTTTTCATATACTTGCCCAGTATTTATTTTATGAATTCGGTATTTAAATTCCAAATTCTTCTCTTTTTTTACATACTTGACTACGCAAACTGTAAAAGAATCCGATTGACCGATACATTTTCAATGATAAAAAAGAAGAACATTAGAAGTGCGGTGAACTGCAGACCTGCAGGTCTCGGTTTTCAGTAATTCAATGTCATTGTTGTTTGCTATTATTATTTCAAGTTTATCTCTTATTAAACAGATAAAACCATGCAATAATTGTATTTGATTATAGTATTCTAAAGCACAAACAATAGTTTTTTTTCGAGGGGGGGGGAGAGGGAGAGAATTATTGTTCATCAATGGTTAATAATAATAAGGTTTTTAAGAAAAAAAAACAAGCAAAAAAATAACTGGTGTGCCTGAAGTCTCTTAGTCTCAACAACGAATGAAAGATGTTGCTCACGACCTGAACAACATGAAAAACCGAGTGCTGGTTCTCAACAACAGTTATTTGTGTAAAAATACACTATGTCGTTGTCGAAAAAAAAAAAAAACAACTTCAGGACCATTAAAATTTCTCACTTTCTTCTTAACTAGAATTCTTCTTCTTACTGTTAAAGCATTCTTTTTAAAAGGTTACTGTTACTTTTCAACTTTTTTTTTTTGTAAGGAAACTTAAGTTTTTTATAAAAATTTTCTCTTGAAACAAAGTAAAGAACACTTGATAATTATGGTAAAAGATGAAGAACCAAGAACTTAACTATATCATTAAATACAAATGGCAAGTAGCTTAAAAATATCAGTACTGTCGATGTCGCCGGTGGACTGTGAAGAGGAGAAAGCGCTGGAACACAACAGGTCACCTGCATTTTTTACAATCTGAGTTGATCACAGACTTGGATCAGTGCATTAATTATGGTTCCTTGAATATATTTGATGGCAGTCTCATGATGCTATTTGTCAGTCAGAAAAGTTACGGACTGTCTTGGACTTTTAACACCGCTTTGATTTTACACTGCTTTGAAAGATATGCTGCACTTAAGCTTCTTTTATTCGCTCTTATTTGTCGTTATTCATACATCTGAAGCTTAAAATAGAGAGAGAAATTTAAGGCAAAAATTTGATAAACACGATTTTCAAATAAGCTAGAGAAAGCCTGTCGTTTTAATCTTTTATTTTTATTTATTTATTTTTTTTTTTATTTAATTATTATTATTATTATTTTTTTTTTTGTAACTTAGGTCATCGCATTTGAAGTAATTCTGGTTTTTATATGAACAAATCTGTCAGTGTGACAGCTGTGCTATAGTCTTTGAAAATATTTTTGCTCTTTAAAACTTTACAAGGATGAGCTTACTTACTGTTAGAACAGTATAAATAACAATTTTTAGTTGTTACTGTCGATCAACATTGAATTTTTTTTTGTTTATATAGTCGTGTAAGGAAAAGATTAAGGTTTTAATTGTGCTGCTAAATTTATTGTATTCTATCTAAAAAACACTACAAAAAGTAACTTGAGATTGAACATAGTTATATAATTAAAGTACTCAATGCTGTTGTCGATAGTGCTAACAATGTTTATGCTGAATTTACCGCATTCGTTACGAATAGCATTGTTTGTAAACAGAACTACCGCAAGAATACGGAGACCACTTGAACTATAATAAATTGTAACTGTCTGACCCATTGAAGCGATGTAACTCTGTTTTGGTGATACAAAAGACGTTCATGTTTTCGCCAAGAATACGATGTCACTTATGGTCAATGTTGTCGAATTGACCAAATTATGTTTGTCATAAAAGTTTTTTAAGACAAACTTTACGAGCAATAATTGTCAAAAACTACAACTGTTTCTCAATGTGCTCAAAAAAGCAGAATTAGCTTCTCAACTTTATTACTGCCAAAAATCAAAACACACATTAATTTTGCACCACTTACCAATTGATAAAGTAGCTATAAAATAAAAGGAAAAGAGCAAAGAATTAACACAACGGTTATTATCTGTCTTTAGATTACATTTAATACTATAGGTACACAACTAACAAATAGTTTATCAGATGCAAGATGAAAGATTCCTTCCTACTGCAATTTGCTTACAGACTTCACTGCAAAAGCGATGAGAATTTTTGCGCAAATGTGAAATACAACACTATTATTCCTATAAGTTTCAAAAATGCAGAGCTTTTTAACAGTTTAAGTTTTACGATAGGTTGATTTGGTTTTATTACACTACAGGTAAAAGATTTGAAAAAGTCACTTGGTCTAATAGCTGTAACCGGCACATTATAACTCAATATGATTTTCTGAAGAGCGTATTTTAATCAGACATTAAAGTTGTCAAATAACCTTTCTAAGTGTTTAGAACTTTTTCACACATGGAAACTTTTTCTATTTGTTTTTAACTGCCAATTTTTGCTTTTTGAAACATAAAACCTGAAGGAATTAGGTCGACTGCTTGTGACATTAGTAAATTATACTTAGCCAAATTTATCATAACTGCTAATATTATTTCAAAAAGACAGATCTGACTTAGACAGATTTAGAGTGACTTATTTGCGGTCTTTGTTTCTAATTTAGTTATCTACTTTTTTTTCATTGTAGAGGATTTTTGCCAAGATTAAAACAAAAAATAATTTTGAATGATGCACAAAGACTAATAAACAAAGTATTTTTTTAACGTCTTAAGATTAATTTCAATTACTAAATATAGTTTACAAACCACAAAAAAAGCAGACGAAAACTGATTACTGCATTGTGGTAATCTTTGATAACTGAGATTTTGGTGAGTAAAATGTAAAACTATGTTTACAAATCTATTTTTTATGATTCAGAAGCTTTACTGATATATTTCTTTTTTTCCTTTTTTTTTCTCGGAGCACAAAATAGCAACAAATTTTTCAGCTCTATCATAATCGATTTGGTAGAATTCTAAATGATCTTAGTGCAAATAATCTTGTTTTAACCAAATAAGAAACTTTAATCATTACATCGGTTGTTACAATGATAAAAGTTCATAAGATTAGATGTATCAACAATTTCAATGGTACTGCATTATCAATGCTTGATTTGATAGAACCAACTGTGAATGTAATTTATCACTTATCTTCGGTTTCTTTGCTATAGGTTGTCGGTCATATGAAATACAACTACAAATTCTTACTGATGTATTACAGACAGCCACTACACTGATTACAGTTGGCGAACATTAAACATCAAATAGATTTGAGAAAAAAGGCTTGTCTTGCTAAATGGTGCGTTTTTTTAACAACGTTAAAGATAAGTAGTTTTTTTGACTGTTATAACAGTGATAAACGTTTTGTGGAATTTTCTATTTACAGGAAAACAGTGATGATAGCAAAGCACATTCTGTTAAAAAAAAAAAAAAAAAAAAAAA